CACAGCTCACAGCAACCTCCAACTCCTGGGCTCAAGCGAGTCTCCTGCCTCAGCCTCCCAAGTAGCTGGGACTACAGGCACCTGCCACAACACCCGGCCATTTTTTGGTTGGAGCCATCATTGTTGTTTGGTGGGCCCAGGCTGAGGATTCGAACCCACCACCTTAGGTGTATGTGGCTGGCGCCTTAGCCGATTGAGCCACAGGCGCCGAGCCTTTTAACTTAATTTTCAATTCATTTTTCCATGGCTACTTATAAGTTTCTAACACTAGAATTCACTATTTTATTTTTTAGAAGCCTAACCCCTAATGGGAAGGGTTTGACATTGTCACATGTTCTCAATTGTTCATCAGAAAGCAAGAATTGTGTCAGGCATGGTGACGCAAGCTTATATAATTCTAGCACTCTGGGAGGCCAAGGTGGATGGATCACCAGAGCTCAGGAATTCCAGACCAGCCTGAGTAAGAGCAAGGCTCTGTCTCTAAAAATAGCCTGGCATTGTGGCAGGTATCTGTACAATGTTATAGATACTGTAGGATGCTGAGGCAAGAGGATTGTTATAGCTACTGGGGATGCTGAGGCAAGAGGATTGCTTGAGCCCAGGAGTTTGAGGTTGTAAGCTATGATCCCAGGGCACTCTATAGAGGGTGACAAAAATAAGACTCTGTCTCAAAAACAGAAAGCTAAGAATTATTCCACTACCTCTATAGAAGTTTATACCAATCATTCCACTATCTCTATAGAAGCTCAGACCCCACAATTTCTAAGCTTCTGTGTCTATTTTAGAAAAATAGTATCCAGTACTATCACAGAAAGACTCCAGTTTAGAATGAGTTAGAATGTTTACTTGATTTTTGTATTTGTCTCATGCAAAGGAAAAAGGAAAATTAACAACTGAAAGTAGCCATTGAGACAAAATTCAAAGCAGCATTTGAGACCATAAAAGCTAAGTAGGGATTTTCATCCTTTCTCACAAAACGACAGAGGATGAAAAGGAAAACTAAATGATGGATTTATGATACAATTCCACTAACATAAAAAGCAAGAAAAAATACTTTTTTTTTTTGATGTGATTCAAAACTTAAAAGTATTTTTCATCATCAAATTTTCTTCTGGAATAAATGACTAAAACTTGATTCAAAAGTATGTAAATTCCTCTTTAGAACACCCCTAGTGTGTTTTAAGCTTGTGCTTAAAATATTATGAAAATAAATGTGAAATAATATTGACAGGTAGAAAAAGCAGCAGTCTGGGTTCTGTGAACTGTGTGGCTTCAGGCAGTTTTTCAACCTCTCTGCATATCAATTTTCTCATCGATAAAATAAACAGGTGAGCTACAGAGGATCTCTGGGTCTTTTTCAAGTCCAGAGTTCAGCGTTTGTAATATTCATTGGAGAGCTCAGAAAAGAAGTTTTAAGTAGAGTTTAACTATTTGCTGCTTGTACAGTTAAAAAGTTGCCTTCAGCCAAAGCATAAGATTTTATATAACAAGTGAAATCAAGCAGAAAATGGCCCAAACTCTGTATTTGAACACAGCTGGCTTCAGCTAGGATCTGACTATAAGGTGGAGAGTTGAACTCCTGATATTCAAATGTTAGCAAGACTAGGCGGCACCTGTGGCTCAGTGAGTAGGGCGCTAGCCCCATATACCAAGGGTGGCGGGTTCAAAGCTGGCCCTAGCCAAACTGTAACAAAAAAATAATTGGGCATTGTGGTGGATGCCCGTAGTCCCAGCTACTCAGGCGGCTGAGACAAGAGAATCTCCTAAGCCCAAGACCTGGAGGTTGCTGTGAGCTATGAAGCCACGGCATTCTACTGAAGGCGACAAAGTGAGACTTTGACTCTTAAAAAAAAAAAAAGCATTCAAATATTATCAAGACTTGGAAACCTTCCAAAGCAGAGCAACAGCCAACATCTGTCCTGGTCCTGACACATCCTTGCTGGCAGTTGGGGCTTCATTAGGCCTATTATAACCCAAAAAGGAAATTTCAAAACTTAGGTAAGGAGACATTATTCTCAGAGTTCTGGAGACATTTAGAAAGCAGAAAAACTACCCTTACCTTGCTGATAAAGCCTACTCATTGTTCTTTTAAATACACTTAGCTTCTTCTGGATATATAATGAATATCCACTAATTATTTAAAAAATCACTTGAGAACTATAAAAACATCATAAAGTGATCACCCTGTTCTGTAATCTGGAAACAATAACTACTGACACTCATGTGAATCTCTTTCTCTTTTTTTATGTGGATATATACAGCACATCCTGCTTTTTTTAGAGGATAAGCATTTTTCAATGTTATTTAATATCATTATTTATCAGTGTTATTTAATATCAATATTTAAAACATTATTTTAATAGAGTCTATCACAAGAATCTATCAAAATTGACTTGCCAAACCCTTATTGTTAGGTTAACTTATCTCTAATATTATGCTGCTATGCATACTAATAATACTATAAAGGATTTTTTAACATAATTCTTCATCTGTACCTTTCTTTATGATTTTCCATTCCAAAGTCATAACATATTTTAGGGTGTGGATAAGTGCTTTTTAAGTCATAGAAATGCCAATTTAGGAATGGATGCAAAATGAATGATATTATTAGGATTGGGATTGTTTGTAAAAGGAACAAATGTGTGTATCCCCAAAGAGAGTTTGATTGGTGTGCAAATATAAAATTAAGCATATCTATATTTGGGATCATGAATTCCCTTTGCCTGTCAAAATGGCTAGATTTATTCATAATTGTAATAGAAAGGCTCTATTTTGCAGGTGACTTAAAGACTTTGTCAGCTCAGCGCCTGTGGCTCAAGCAGCTAAGGCGCCAGCCACATAAGCTGGTGGGTTCGAATCTAGCCCAGGCCCGCCAAACAACAATGATGGCTGCAACCAAAAAATGGCCAGGCGTTGTGGCGGGCGCCTGTAATCCCAGCTACTTGGGAGGCTGAGGCA